GGGTGCGGCGGCAGGCGGCGGCAGGCGGCATCCCAGGGTGATAGGCCGGAGTAATCGAGGGCCGAGAGCCGGCCGCGTGTGCAATCGAGTAACGCCGCGACGGAGGAACTGCCAGAGAAGGCAGGAGAAATCGGACACCGAGAGAGTCAGCCGGCCGGCCCCGCCCACTTGCCAAACACGCTGGCCCCGCCCGCCCTGCAGTGAGCGGTCGGAGTCGCCCAGCAAGGCTCCAAGTGGGGCGGCGGGAGGAGGCGGGGAGGCAGAGGGTTGCGGGAAATTTAAAAAGAAACGGAGGGAACAGTCTTCTCATCCCTGTCCTACCTATCTATGTATCTGTGTACTTGTGGTGGTTTGTTTTGGACCAGTTCTTGTTCCTACTGGACGAAAAGATTGGAGAAGCTGCTTATTTTTACAGTCACCCACGGGGAAACTCCTCCTGTTCCCAGAGGAGAGTTGGCAGCGGGTCTGGGATTGTGGGATATGGACAGGATCCGCGCTGAAACTGGACGTGTCGGTTTAGAATAGCATGGTGAAGAAGTGTGGTGTGGATGGATGAACGGCCTCAGAGCACAGAAATGCTCAAAAGCTCAGTATTAACCAAACATGCTTCTCTTTTTTTGCCTTTGATCTCAGTGCAATACTGCTGGCTTTTTTTCCTCTCATGATGTCACTCCCGTTTTATTTTGGGTCTGTTTGTACACTGTCTCCCTCCTTGATCATGGCTTCACTTTTATGCCCACCCAAGGTGTGATTATCAGTTCAAGCCTAAGAGATTACTGGCAAAATAAAAATGTAATAATTTTTAAATTGAACACTAACAAATGAAACCATGGCTTACATATAGTAGGTCTTCAACAATGTTTCTTGAACATGGCAACTTAAAATTGAGCAGGATTTCCCAGTTATGTGTGGCTTTATTTTTTTTACACCTCTTGGGCTTTATTGTTTTGTTTTCATGTTTGCCCTCCCTTATTTCTCCCTACTTTGCATAAGGAGACTGGTCTACACGGGGAAGTTTTCTTTTTTTTTTTACCTTCTAGTATCTTGATGTGTTATTTCGGCTTACCAAGAATTATGAGGGTGCATTTATAATTTTCTCCAAACTCTTATGTACAATAATAGTATTTCAAAACAAGAAGTAACCTTAGAGATAATCTCATCCTGCCTTTGTTGAATAGGTAAGAAAACTGGGGAACAGCCAGGTTACCTGGCAAGTCAACTGCCAGTACGGATAGGTGCACGATGTTTTGATGATATTAGTTACTTCACCTTTGTTCCCTCAAGAATCTTTTGTAATTAAGCTTAATCTGTGGCTTGGCAATTTATTGGAATGATCATTGTTATTATCTGGAGCCCTGCTTGCTTACCATCTGATTGCATAGTCAAGCCTTCAAATCTAAACCATTATTTGTGTGTTAGTGAATAAGGAAAGACGTTGAAGCCCCAGGATTACAGGGCTCGGCACTAAGCAGACCAGGAGGATTTTTGTTTATACTAAATTACTGGTGAAGTCATGGTAACAGAAGTCGGAGAGCAAGTGATTAATGGGCATCAAATGTACAAATTTGAGTATCTCTGTATTAGTTAATATATAAGGAATTTATTTACCCAACCAATTATCTCAAAAACAGCATTAGGAGTGATAGATTAGACAGGGATTTTTTTTCAGACTTGCTCTCTCACTGGTATTCTGCATTATTTTTTTTCTTCCATGAGTGAAACAGAAACAGACAACACCCTCAATAAGGTCCTGACCCCACGGCCCAGACAGTGGGCAAGCATGTGCCTGGCATACTCAAGAAAATCTCTGGACATGGGCAGGAACTTTCCTATGTGGAACTGACTCTCGGAGTATGGCATTTAACCACTACGCCTCTGTTCCGCCACCAACATAGCTTCTTAAACTGGGGAAAAAGCCTCTGCCAACTCCACCTCCACATACCCACACCCCCACACTTCTATAATCCTGATCCTGTCTTCGTTCAGACCCTCCAAATACTGGTCCCCACACTTATGCTCCTGACCTCAGACTCACTGCAGGTAGTTATCTAATTGCCTGAATATTAGTATGTCTGGAATGTATCTAATGTTCGAGACTTAGAAAATACTTTCACACCCTCAATAATTATCCTGTGAGATAAGCTAAATCAGTATTTTTTAATCACCATTTAAGTGAAAAAAGCAAAATTCTATTAAGTAGCCTACCTACATATAGCTAGTTAGTAGACTGAGATTAAAATCCTAGTCTCTGGGGACAGAAGGTGGCATGGTGGTGCATGGCTGATGGTAGTTCAAGTCCCAGGCCTGGCAGCTTGCTCTCTCTCTCTCTCTCTCTCTCTCTCTGGTAAGCACACCTACCTTATAGCAAATTTTAAAATAATCATCATAATAAATAAAATTCAATAATTATTTTTCAAAAACCCTAATTGTTTTCTTTATATTTTTGGCATAGGCTATGTGTGCTCACTAGGGAGAGACAGCGAGAGGGAAAGTGAGATATCACCCCCCCAGGGCGATCCCTTTTCCTCAACTCTCCTCCTGGGATTTTGGGCACACACACCCACCATGATTTTTAAGCTTCCAGGTCTGGAACTCAAACCACGGTTGGCCAAATGGGAGTCCAGCACCTTAACCACCACACCACCTGCTGGCCCCCATAACTTTTTAATTCATTCGGGACCAGCAGTTAGTGTAATGGCTATGTCGCTGGACCCCCATGTGGTCGACCGCGGTTCACGTCCTGGACCTGGTGGCTTAAAACTCACGCCGGACACGTGTGTGTGTGTGCCCAAGATCCCGAGAGGAGAATGGAGGAGAAGGGATTGCGGCGTGGGCATCCCCCCTGGGGGGTGATTTCTCGCTTTCTGTCTCTCTGTCTCTCTCTGTCTGTCTGGCGAGCACACATGCCCTATAGCAAAAAAAAACTCTCAAAAAAAATTTTTTTAATTCATTAATGGATTTGGATTCCTTATGGGATTTTTTTTCCCCTCTGGCAGGTAGTTGTTGTGACATTTGTGGAACAAAATAAATATTTCATGATTTTTGCAAATTATTATCATTTAAGAAAAATATTGAAAGCTCAGCCTCACCAGTAAGCTGCAAAGACACTGTGCTGCTCAGACTGGGACCACGTGGGAAGCCTGAGTTTGATTCCCAGTCCACAGCCAGGCAAGGAGGTGTGTACCTGTAATCTTGGCAATTTGGGAGGCTGAGGCAGGAGGATTATAAACTCTAGTACATCCTGGACAACATAGTGAGACCATATCTAAAGTATACTCCCATAGTCTCAGCTACTTGAAGGCTCTGAGGTGGGAGGATGGCAACACAGCAAGAGCTATCTTACAAAATAAATAAATAAATAAAAAGAAAGAACAGAAAAGTACTGGCCTCGTGGCGCAGTGGTAATGTGCTGCTCCAGGCAAGCTGGATCAACGGAATCCCCTCCGCCCCCCACACCCTCACCCCGAAGCCACTGCCACCATGTCCCACCAGGAGGCAAAACCCTCCACTGAGGATTTGGGGGATAAGAAGGAAGGAGACTACATTAAACTCAAAGCCATCGGACAGGATAGCAGTGAGATTCACTTCAAAGTGAAAATGACAACACACCTCAAGAAACTCAAAGAGTCATCCTGTCAAAGACAGGGAGTTCCAGTGAATTCACTCAGGTTTCTCTTTGAAGGTCAGAGAATTGCTGATAATCATACTCCAAAAGAACCGGGAATGGAAGAGGAAGATGTGATTGAAGTTTATCAGGAACAAATAGGGGGGTCATTCAATGGTTTAGATTTTCTTTTTTTATTTTTTCTTTTCCCTCAATTATTTTTTATTTTTAAAAATAGTTCTATTATGGGGACCAGCAGGTGGTGTGGTGGTTAAGGCGCTGGACACTCCCACATGGCCGACCAGAGTTCAAGTCCTGAATCTGGCGGGCTTATTTCTCACTTCCTCTCTTTCTCACTGTTACCCTCTGTCTCTCTCTGGTCAAACTAAAAAATAAATGAATGAATGAATAAAATAAATAAATAATTATTTAAAAAAATAGTTCTTCTGTAATGTGGTGTTCAAAATGGAGTTGAAAACTGGCTCCCCATCTCGTTAAAACATCTAGTGATTTTGGGACCAGCAGTTAGCATAATGGCTATGCCACTGGACTCCCATGTAGTTGACCATGGTTCGAGTCCCGGACCCGGTGGCTTAAAACTCACGCCGGGCGCATGTGCGAGCGTGCCCAAGATCCCGAGAGCAGAATGGAGGAGAAGGGATTGTGGCGTGACCATCCCCCCTGGGGGGTGATTTCTCGCTTTCTATCCCTCTGTCTCTCTCTGCCTGTCTGGCAAGCACATGCGCCCTATAGCAAAAACCTTTTCAAAAAAAAAAATTAGTAATTTAAATCCTAGCGTTAATTATTTGCTATCGTTTGTTTCATTGCACTGATGCCTCAGCTCTCTCATAATGCCCTCTCCTTTATAAAAGCCACACGTGTGCACAGAGAGGATCCCTGTCTCAGGACTCTGCATTTTCAAGCTTGTGGTGGTAACTAAGATCTGCCAGTGCGAGTGTTCATAGTGACTTTCGAATTGGCTTTGAAGTTTCAGCATGTGATTGCTTCACTCTTGGACTATGATTTTTGGTAGAAGATGGAAGTTTCTTTTCTTTTCTTTTCTTTTCTTTTTTTGGAGAGGTTTTTTTGTTTGTTTTTGTTTTTTTGCTGTAGGGCGCGTGCGCTTGCCAGAAAGACAGAGAAAGACAGAGACAGAAAGCGAGAAATCACCCCCAGGAGGGATGGCCACACCACAATCCCTTCTCCTTCATTCTCCTCTCAGGATCTTGGGCACACACGCACATGTGCCTGGCATGAGTTTAAGCCACCAGGTCCGGGACTCGAACCGTGGTCGGCTACATGGCAGTCCAGCGACATAGCCATTACGCTAACTGCTGGTCCCAGTAGGAGATGGAAGTTTTTCAGAGAACTGCACTGTGGAAAAATGACCTTTCCTTAACTTGAAGCTATTTTTAGAATCTGAGGGTCTGGACCAAAAGAAGAGGAATATTAGATCAGAGTCAAGATGACAAATACGGTGTGAGTTCACTAACTCCAAAGATATCTTCACTGAAGAGAACGCATTTTAAGATTTAAAAAATCTTTTCAGAAGATCCCAGAAAAGTTCTCATTTCCATTAGCAGTTAATAAAGTTATTCATGCAGAAGTGTATACAACATTATTTTATTTGTACTTTTTGGCCTGGGATATGGGTTTTAAATAGACATTGTCTGTACCAGCTTCATTAAAATAAACAATATTTGTAAAAATCTTTTAAAAAATAAGGGCAATCTGGATCTCCCATGACAACCGCAGATGAATACGTGGCCCAGCGAGCCTGAACCATGCCACGCATGCTCAGGTTCTAGGGTTTGACTGGTGAGCTGAAGGACTGGAGAAAGGGAATCAGTGTGACCAGACTCTGGAGCGTACTCCTTTCTCTCTCTCTTCTTCGCTCTCATGTATGTGTGCATGTGCTCTATAACAAGTAAGGAAAAAAATACATGTACACAAACACACGAGAGGACTTCAAAAGGTTTAGGGAAAAATAGAATTAAAGTACAAGTTTATTGCAGTGCAAAAAGATTTTGAAATTCATGCATAGTTTTTTTCTAATACAAATGTTCATTAACTTTTTGAAGACCTGTGTGTGTGTGTGTGAGAGAGAGAGAGAGAAAGAGAGAGGGGGAAAGAGAGAGAAGGAGAGAGAGAGAGAGAGGGAAGGAAAGAGAGAGGGGGGAGAGAGAGAGAAAGAGAGAAATAAAACAAAAAGTTATAAACCAATTCCCACAGCTAGGAGGCAGTTAATCTTACTTGGATTTCTACCAGCGGTTTCTCTCTGGTGTAATCCCAGATTTTAATGTGAAGATAAACCCTGGGCTGATAAAGTCTTAGTTTACATTGGAGTTTTCAAACAGTCCTTTGCACATGGCCTACAATAGAGCTCAAGTCTCATTTCACTGCCTGCCCTCTTCTCTCCTCCTTCCATCTGGCTCTAGAGCTTTGGGCACTAAACTTCCCGAGTTCTTCCATGTATTTATTGTCATTGAAACTCATAACTCCAAGATTAAAACCCAGAACAAATGGGAAGTAAAAATTAGGCAACTATGGAGGAGAAAAAAAAAAAAAAGTTTCCTAGGTAATATACTGAGAAACAAAGGCTGGCAACAGTCTGGGATTTCCAAAAGGAAGAATGAGGCCTGGGTTCTGAGTACACATTGCCAATATTAAGAAGAAATGAGAGTTTAGAATCCTGGCTGTTACAGCCAGAGGGCCAGGTATGCGACCATTTTTTCCTTCTGTTCACTTATCAGAAAGCGTGTGCATACACAAAACACACACACACAAGTTCCCTCTGCACAAATGCTGTTAACTATTTTTGTATAGTTAGTCCTTTCTAGGCTATATAGGAGCCACCTCTAGGTAGCCAATCCCCCAAATTGTCAGGTAACTTTTAAATTATGGGTCACCAACCTCTCTCATATTCCTTGTCCCCTTGGACATGGTGATGTAGCACTCTTCGGATTATGTTCCATAACGCCGACCAGGCCCAGTTCATCATAAGAGAAAAATGGTGACATTTCTCAAGAGTCTCTCATCTATCTTCCTCCCACCTCACCGTCTGATTCCCTGGTGATCTAGCCACTTCTGTGGTTCCAGCTTTCACTTACTTACCTCTAGCCCCATCTTCGGTACTGGGGTCTAGTCACGAATTTGAAACATTGAACTCTTCCACAAAGTTAGGTTTCCTGGATTTCAGGATCAATGCACGGGAAATGACATCTTCCTGTTTCCCTTTCCTCTTCCTGAACACCCCTCCGTTCTTGAATTTCCTTTTATGTGGAACTAACCTCACACTTAGTAGAACTAACCTTATACCTTAGACTTGCTTAAACATGGAGTTACCTTTGAGTCCTCTCCTCCACTCTAGCTTACATAAATCCAACTGTACTTCTCATAGCTCAGACCTGGTTAGTTTTTACCAAGATCATTGCATTAACTCTTTAGCTCTCCTCTTCCTGTGAGGCCTTACCACCTCCAGTTCATCCTACACTGTGTTGTAGGTGAATTATCTTAAAGCACAGTTCAGACCATGCTGCATTCAAGCTCAAGAAAACTCCTCCTCCCTGTTGCCTACTAAGTAAAATGTATGTCTACCAAGCCTCAAAGGGCCTCCCAAATGTGGTCTCAGATCACCATGGCTACCTCCCCATTGCCTATGCTCAGCCAACCCAAACGGCTCACTGTTCCCCAGTTACATCCACCATGTCCCTTGCCTTCTGCCTCTGCTTAGTTGTGTTTTCCATCTATTCCAGATGGTATTCCTTCATCTCTGCTTGCTGAACCCTGACCAACCTTCTAGGGTCCCCATCAAATGCCAGTGTCCTCCTCCACCAAGTCATTCACTCTCCTCCAAGCTGGCAATGATGTCTTCCTCCTCAGAGTTCCTATACCATTTATTACTGGCTTCTGGAACCAATCACAGTATTTATGCAGTAAATGTAGCCTTTTGAGTAATTTTTAAAATTAATTAATTAATTTAAAATTTACTGTAGAACACATGTGCTTCCTGGAGGGGAGCGGGGAAGAGACAGAGAAAGAGAGAGAGAGAGAGAAAGCACTCCTCAAGAAGATGGCCACACCACAATTCCTTCTCCACTCTCCATTTGGAATTTTGGGCATGCACACATATGCACACATACACTGAGTGAGTTTTTCCAGCTGCTGGGTTCAGGACTGGAACTATATGGGATTCAGTAGCCTTAACCACTGTGCCACCTAGCTGTCCCATTTGTGTAACTCTTTTTTGTTGTTGTTAGAAAGATTTTTTTATAGGGTACATGTACTCACCGGGGAGACAGAGAGACAGCAAGTTAGAAATCACCATCCCCCCCATCCCTTCTCCTCCATTCTCCTCTTGAGATTTTTGCACACATGCCTGATGTGAGTTTTAAGCCACGTGGGGCTAGGACTCGAACTGCAGTCAACTACTTGGGAGTCCAACAATGTAACCATGTAACTATTATAACATCTGCCAGTCCCCCATCATGTAACTCTCTTTTGTTTTTCTTAAGAATTATTTTATTTAACTTTATTTATTTATTTATTTATTTTAATTTGATCAAGAGGGACAGAGTGAGAGAGAGAGGGAGAGGGAAAGTGAGAAAGCCACCCAGTTCAGGATTCAAACCACGGTCAGCCATGTGGGAGTCCAGCATCTTTAACCACCATGCCACCTGCCAGTCCCATCCATTCGTGTAACTCTTAATATCTGATGTTGGGTTATAGCATATTGCGGGCAGAGACCTTTGTTCATGTTTATACCCCCACTGTGTTTTTCACATATCAACCCCACAATGAGATGAGAAGCCAGGAAACAAACGATTAGACTGAAGGGAAAAGACAACCTGATTTGGTGCAGAGATGCTTGGAGTTGCAAAAGACACTTAAAAATTGGTTAGTGACTCCAGTCCCACAAGTCTCATTTTCTCTCCTACCCCTTCCCATTCAAAAAATAGACATACCGGGAACCAGCAGTTAGCGTAATGGCTATGTCGCTGGACTCCCATGTAGTCGACCGCGGTTCGCGTCCTGGACCCGGTGGCTTAAACTCACGCCGGGCGCGTGTGCGTGCGTGCCCAAGATCCCAAGAGGAGAATGGAGGAGAAGGGATTGCGGCGTGGCCATCCCCCCTGGGGGGGTGATTTCTCGCTTTCTGTCTCTATGTCTCTTTCTGT